ATAGAGAATTTCTTCAAAAAATAAGCAAAAGCAGTCCTTATTAATTATTGAATGGGAGAAACACAAGGGTTTGGTTGTACTGTTATGTGTATTGTCCATTGTTATTTATTATTTCTTTTTGTTGAGTTTTTTATTATTATTGTTATATTTTCATGCAAAGAACAAGAGTTATCATTTGCTATTCTCAGACATGTAACATCACCCACTGAAAACCTGACCCCTTAAGCCATAAAGAGTAGGAACTTATGAGGCTTCCAGTGGTACCTCCAAAACCTTGACTGAGAGCACAAACAAGCTTGTTGTACAAAGATGCATTATCCACTCTAGTACAAATAAAAACTTTTAGTGTTCTTATAAAATAAACATTTCAGTGGGAGAAAAGATCCTTCTTTCTCAAATTTATCTGCTTAAGTAGTGCAGGACACATTAGCATATATTATAATGCACAGACCGTAAACCATCAATATTCTTCAAAGTCCACAACAATTTTTTTAACATAACTTCTTCATTAAAAAGAATAGAAATTACAGTTTTGCAGCATCCTGCATGTACAAAAGTATGATTATGCAAATAGCTGTGCAATCAACTGCATTTTTATGTAGGTAAATTATCTAATATCCAATGCTTGACACTGTGCAAGAAGTTTTGAAACCTTGATCATCTTGCAAAGTAGAATGACACTGACTTCAAAAAAGCCAGTCCATAGCACAAAATCAATCGCCTCTCCTTCTGTGATTGCCTTTTTACCATTTAGCTTTCACTTAAGCTGTTAGCATATATTAAATAACCCACCCAGACCGTTTCATATGAACATCATAACGAGCACTTTTGGAGATGTTGGTCTTAAGTCAAGAGAAAGCTCTCCCAGTCAATCCAGGCACTGGCTTTTGAGCCCAGTTCCTGGACACTTCATTCCTGGATGCTTTGTTGATCTCATCTTCTGTCTGATAAGTTCCCTGCCATGACATTAGTTGCTTTTATGTGTCTGTGCCTTCTGGCAATAAAAGGAGCATTGAGGCTGCTAACAGTCACAATAATAATATTTCTAATACCAAACTCAGCACTACCGCATAACAAATGATGTTTATTTCATGACAGGAAAGTTACAAAACTAAGTGTTTCCAATCACAGTTTTACACTACTCAGAGAATTGATCTTTGGGACAAGCCTGTTGGGACAGCAGGCTTTATCCTGCAGATGCATTTATTTGTAATCCTCTTAAGTATTATACCATGTGACTGCGGGAGATAAAAGAGCCTCCTTTAAAGAGTATTTCCATAACCCACATTGAGTGATGCTAAGTACAGTGGTATCTCTCCCACTAGATTAACTTCTAATTATTGCAATTTCTCTCATGAAAGAGACTGTAAGATAGCACAGCAGCTCTCTACACATTCATTCTATGGGCAGAGGACATTTTATGTTAATTTACTGATTTATTTAAGACAAGAATTACAGCAGCAAGTGACAGTAAGTAGAAAAGTGTAGCAAAACTCAATATATTCTCATTTGAGAAAATCTGACAGCAGCTCCTTTAATACTGTTCTCTTCCCAGCACTTTAATTATTCACTTCATTTCAATAAGAAAATTCTTTCATGTTGTTCAGACCACATTTTAGCCTAGTTATTGTGGCATTTCTTTGGATATTGGCATTATGTGTTGTTATTACAGATACTGAAGTGTTTGCTTGAAGCTTCACTAGAACACCATATGAATTAGTGTTGCTTCCAGAAATCTTCCAGTATAAACAGGTTCAAAAATCAAGAGGAAAGAGAAGCAGGAAGCATTATTAAACTAAATAACTTTTATTTTATGGATTTTTATTATCTGTTGCACTGAGCTGTCTTGTTAAACATCCATGGATGGTGGTAGTGGAAACCTGTCTAGTTACACAGTGCCAAAATGGTTTTGTCTCTGTGCGATTTGTATGTGTTCAAAGTATATCAAGAGAAAATTAATGCAAAATACAGTATTATCAATGAACATTAGTAGAACTGCATATAGAAAAGAACTTCTGAAAACTATTTTTATAGATGAAACCTCTCAAATTCTTGTCTACCTTATTCACTTGGAGAACAAAGGATGTTGCTAAGGATGTCCATCAGAACAAGGTCAGAGAAAGGAGAAGCAGCAACAAAATTAAGGTATTCATTGCAAATGGGAAATACTGTTTTACATATTTTGCAAATCCATCCTCTTTTGGTACACTGTTTGGGAACACACTGTATACAAACAAAATTTCTGTGTGCTATCTGCAATGTGACACGTGCTAAAGATGAGATAACTACACGTGACAGCAAAGGTGTGAATACCTTAACAAAATATAACTTACTTATCATGGCTTGAAGAGATCTTCATTTGAATTTGTTGTTCATAGTAAGATTGCATATAGCTTTTAAATGATCTCAAATATCTGCAACATAATTTCTTGTATATGAAGGCAGAAATAATTAGTGGTTTACAACATAAAAAGTACTGGAGTTCCAGCAACAGTTTGCAGGTCTTTGCTTATTACTATGAGGTTGTAAGAATTTGCTATAAAACTTCATTTGCTGCAGTGGACTCAGTTATGTTTAAAAATCAAATAAATGGTCATAGTTATCCTTCTCCTTATGGTAGACATAGTCACACAGGATAGGCAATAAAAAGACAGATTCTTACAGAAATTTTTGTTTGTTTTCCTCTCAAAAATATATCTCATTTCCTCTATTTTGTAGTATACATCAGCTGCCTATTAGACAGTTAATCAGCTGACACTCTTTTTTTGAATATGCATCTTCACTAAGTAGTGTATTAAAATGCTAGGGGATCACTTCAATTGTGCGTGTCAACATCATCCAGAACCAAAGGAGTGTGACTATCATTAGCCAACAGTTTCTCAGTCCTTAGCTCTAGCTGAGACTTGTGACAGAGACTGGGAAAAGCTTTCACTACTGTTTCCTTTCTCACAAGTCCCTGTCTTTATCCTCTGTCTCTAAAGCAGAAAGGAGCTTCTAATATTTTTAAAAAAATGGATTTTTGCAGAACTCTGTAACTAGTCCTTTATGGACCAAAAAAACTTTCACGCTCATTCTGTAATAAATGAGCTCTTGGAGGCTGCCAACAAAGTGTTGTTAATGCTGTGGATTCAAAATATCAGTTCAAAGCTAAACTGAAGAGCTGCATCAAAACTTAAGACTACTTTAAAATTTACAGTAAAAGTCCCCACTGACTCATGCTAACACAGATACAAAAATCAGCTAGAAAAGGTAGTAAGGTTATTAACTGGGAACTCTGCTATAGCAGTTACAAACTGTTAATCTCTCTCCTTCCACATTCAGGTGGACCTAGATTATCTATGGGAACATCATTATCCGGGAAAGGATGTGCCCAGCCAAGTAAGAGGGTGCAGTAAATCACACAGCAGCCACTGTTAGAAAGGGCTTTACACCATTCAAGTATGCTTATCTGTGGGAGGGTGGAAATAGAGGAAGAGAAATAAAAACATCACCTGTCTTCAGGAAATATCCAGCAAAGAATTAGAGACACCTTAATTATAGAAAAAGGAGTACTTCCTATAGAACTAGTCACAATGGAGCTACACAGCTGGAAACCTGTATTTATTTCTGCCCCTGAAAACACAGGAGCTCTAAATCTCGTGTCTTCTGCAAAACAGCTCAGAGCCAGTAGAGCAATCTCAGCCACTCCAATCTGCAGGAAAACTGAAGAGCCGCCAGGAAAACCACCTGATCCCCACAACCACACAGAGGTGCTATTATTTACTGCTCAGTGAGACCAGCAAATGATTATACTCAGTGAAGAAAAATGTTTTAGGTCTAAGTAATTATTTTACCAATGACCTTAAAATATCCCTGTTGTTAGTTTTCCTTGCAGAGGGCAGTCTCTGTAATAGGATCAGGCAGTATGTTTCTTCATGCCAAGTCACTGAATGCCAAAATGATTTGTCATCTTTTGCCACAGGCCACTGCCTGACATACACATGCCACAGTCTAATGTCTCGCCTGCTTTGACATCAAAGTGTCTTCCTTTGGCCATTACCAACAAGAAGAAAGGCAAACAATGGCAGCAACTTCTATTCTTTCTGAGAGAGTTTTAATTAAATAAATGGTCTCAAATAGCTTAGTGGGACTAAGGCAGGGGGAAAAACCTTTCATCATAAAATGTATTAAATCCATAAATCTTGCTTACTCTCTCCCCCTGCAATTTTTTTTATTTACTTCACAATCACATTATTTCATTCTCTGTAGAGATTTATGACAACATTATATGACATCTCCTGGGTTTTCACAGCCTATCATCTTTTACAGCTCACTCTTAATGCCATGGGCCATAAAAGACAGAGTTCATCTCATTTTACAAAGGGAAAGGGGGAAAGAAGTCCTATGCAGATCCTCCGGTTTCAGAAAGGTTTTCACATGCTGAAATTTACCAGTTTCATTAGGTTCATCGAGACTTTTGGTATCAGCAACTCTACCTGTTTTGAGGGATGGGTGATTTCTACAGCATACTCCAGAGTCCTGATTTCCCAATTCAAATCAGCAGGGCAGTAATGTAGCAAAAGGTGTGCTCCAAGGTGTAGCTGGGGCTGCAAAAACTCAGGTTTGCTGGGGTTGTCTTCGGTCTTCCTATTTATATATAGTTAGTCAGTGCTATTCACTGATGTGTCTTCACAGAGCTAGTTTAGAGAGATCATACTTTTCAAGAGAAGTCTCACAACAAAATGCTCCCTTCTTGTCCATCGCATTTTGAGGAAAATAAAATGCAAAAAACTGTATGTGTCAGCCAAACCATTGCAAGATTCTTTATTCAAATGAAAGAGGTCCTCCTGATGGCAAGTGGCGTTATAATTATAGACTAGAAAAAAGCAAGATCAGCAGCTGCTGCTGCTGCTGCTGCTTGCGTTTGTTCCCTCTGTAACTGACAGGACAGAGTACTTGGCAAAAACAGACTTCCAGAAGTGGAAAGACATTTTAACCCCTGTTCTTGTCAGTCCACTCCTCCTGGGCTCGGCAGCAGCAACCCCTTGCTTCAGGTTAAGGGAAGAGCAAGGTGACTATTGCAGATCTGAAGGGGACTTTGTTTGGGACATCTGAGAAAGAGGAAGGGTCCAGGATTTACTTTCGGGCTTGGATTGCCGAATCAAGATAGCAGGTCAGTGGATATAGTGTGAGCTTAAAATGTTTTTACAGTTGACTTAACTCAAATCTATCTCACTCACTTTCTCTCCTATGCCCTGCACCAAGAAAAAAGGTGATACAATGGCAAGGAGTAGGTCTGTGTAGAGGGACTGTTTATTTATACATTCTGTAATGTGCCTTTCATGGTCAGTTAGAGAACACTGATGGCTGTTATTTTTTTACTGTGGTTTCTCTCTGAATCCTAATGCATCCTGAAACTCTCAGCTAGACAAAAATCCCATTTACAGTTGGGCTCAATATTAATGGGGGACACACGCATTTATATTTTTAGGTGTTTTTGCCTAAAGTCTTCTGATGATCTTAGCAGAAGTGGAAGAGTAATATATAACTCACATTTCAGACCGTGGTTGAGAAAAGTTCAGAGAGGGCATAAACACTGAGCAAAAGAAAAAGCAACATCGCAGATATGAGTCAAGGTCTCTACAGGCAGCAAATGGGCATAACTTGTACAGTGTCCCCAAAACTCATAAATCCATACCAGCCTGGCCCTACATTTGCTAATGAAGTTAAGTGCAACACAATTAATCGGAATGTTTTTCATAACACTGGCGTCTTGGTATCTAACCTAATGTGCTCTGTCCTTCTTCTCCCCTGTCCAAAACAGTGCTCAGGAAAGGAATGCGCTGTGGGGGGCGTCATTATGCTTTGCTCTTCCGGTTCATCTCAGTTTTAGCTTTTCCATTTCCTGTGGCCATAAGTAAGGTGATGTTGGAAGGACTCTCAGCCGACATGCTGTCCATGAACCAAGGGTTTGGGACCACCATGCGAGAGTCAGGCTCAGCACAAGGCTTTATACCAAAACATCCCATTGCATGGGAAGGCTGTACCCAAGGGGTTGTAGTTGTTTCCAGACAACAGAATTCTCCAGAATTCTATCCTTCGTAGTCCGTATCTTTTTGTACAGTCCAAAGCATTCTATAATCACCTCAGCTGACCTAATGTATATTTTTGAACATTGAATTATATTATCCTGAAGTCTCTATATGAACCTAATGATAAATGTTAAATAAAGCATTTGCTTAGCAGGAAACTAAAACACAGTGCACTAAGGCAAGGCAGAGCAAGGAAGCCAAGGCACTAAACCCTGAAACTGCTCTTACAGTTCCACTTTTGTTTGCCTCATTTCAGAGGCAGAAAGAAAAAGCAGTGGCATCCAGTGCCTCCCAAGTTAATGGGAAGACTTCTATTCAGAGCCAATGGCATTGAGTTAAGTGCAAAGAGAGATGGCTGGGATGTGATTAAGTAAAATATGGTTGCTTGAATCAAGCAGACAAATTGCACTTCAAGGATAAAACTCTCATCTTCCAGTCCAGTGTAGGGATGAATATTCTTAATCCTGAATCCTATTATCATTACAGCTCTGCATTTGTGGCCAAAACCCATCCACTAGGCCTTGCAAAACAGGATTTGCTTCGGTAGAGGAGACAGACTCATTTTGTCCAGCTTAGCTACTGATCAGTTTCTGGCACTTCCAGTCACTGGGATGCCTGGCAGGAAAGAATCCTTCCTGAACCCCATATGCAGAAACCGAGGATTGTGTTTTTGACACTAGGCTTTGCCTGCCTGCAGAGCTGCAGATGCTGTGAGGGTCCTGCAAGCAATCTTGTTCCCTCCATGACGCACAACAGAAGAGGCCACTCAAAAGTTTAACAGATGCCCAGATACCAAGGGAGACAAGCAGAGCCCTCAGACCCAACCCTGTATGTCTCAGCTCTGTGAATTCTTTCTGAAGGTCGTCTTCTGTCCAGCTATCTGCTCTCAGCTTAAAGACCTTAAACAACAGGGTGTCTATCCAGTTCCAATATTTGGTTGGCCCCACAGTTAGCGATTTATGTTTTCTTCATCCTGTGTTTGGCTAACTTCATCCTCTCATCATGGCACTGTGTTACACTGAGGGTCTGGGTTCCTGCTGGGCTGTAAGCCCTCACATTATCAAACATCTTTTCAAAATCTAAGTCCCTACATGCAGTCAGTCCCACTGGAGATTTCCATTATAAATTGCTTATTAGTGGGGAGATAAAGACATACTCATTAATGATATGGCTTGAACACACATACTCCACAGCATCAATGGCCAAGGCCTAAAGCCTCCTAGAGCGATCCCAGGAAACTCAGTGTATTTTTAAGAGTATTTTTTACCTTATTCCTTCCCTATAGCCCAGCCGCAGATTTATTTAATTGTTTATAAAGCTCCATTTCTGATAGAGGATGGACATTTTTCCATTTTCTTAAGTGCTGAATCCTGACCACAGGATTTTTAGCAGACAGGACTGCATTTCTGCATTCCACTCAGCCAATTTGGCTCCTGAATTGAGTTTCATGGAGTACAGAAATGACAACAAAAAATTTAAAGGTCTGTGTTAAAGCTTAGGGAAAGGAAAGCTATCATTTGGATGCTAAAGAATAAAACCCATGTATCTTAAAAAAAAATGATAGCAAAAAATAATCTCCAATCCCATACTGGCAAACCTCAAGCAGCCATTCTGCAGAGGAAGAGAGACAGCCTGTCAGTAGTACAAGGCTTATGGTGTCTTTTCCCTACTGATTTCCTTGGCAGCTAAAAGAAAAAGTGGCGCTTTTACAGCTGAATTTTAATGGCAGACTTTATGGTCTGCATCAGAGACAGAGCCAAGCTACATAAAATGCTACCAAGTCATCTATTAACTAGGGGCTCAGATTTTTTTTCCCCAAGTATAAATGTCCTACAGTGGCATCAAGAAAATATAGACAAGAATCATGTTTGTAAAACACAATAACTATCTGGAGGTGCTCATCTTAGTTAGTCCCCTTCTTGCGTGCAGTATAAAACCTCTTTCACCCACATTTGGAGTTTGAATTTTTTTGTAAGCATGCCAAAATTTCTGTAACATCTCCCTATACTGGGTAAGCAAGTAAAAAGCACAGCACAAAGTGTTTACCTGTGTACTTTCAGTAGTATTTTAATTATACTGTGTTACACCCTGCCTACCTGAGCAACTTTGTTGCTTGTTTTGCATGGCCATGCAATGCTGAAGTATTGATGAGTAAGTCTGGTTAAGTCAAGGTGACAAATAACAGAGTTCCCCAGCTGATCTCAGCTGATGTTGTAACTGCTAATGAAAGAGGCAGTCTCCAAATCCCATTTGGTTTTTAGATTATTATAATTACCAAGCCAGGTAAAAATACTGGCTGGCGAGGAAGGTGCATTTGTGCAATTTAGCTTTACTTCTCTTACCAAGAAACTGAGAAGTTTTGAAAAAAAATTCAAGCAAATTTAATTCCTATACTTCGCTCGCAGTAGACTGGAGCAAACTGAGAGTAACCAGAGACTTCAGAGGTGTAATATGTCTCTGCCACTGCCACCCAGGGAAGTGGTCACATTCGGTGCTAACTGTTGAGTTTGGGTGATCTTTGAGGTAAAGCCCAAATACAGCCTTGCATCAGTCAATCTGCAGGGCAGTCTCAATAGTGCTTGTAACTACAAGATTTTTATTTCTCTCTCCCTTTCTATATATATATGAATACACACACCATGTGTTTATGTACACATACTTTTATATATTTATATGTGCATGTATATCTATGAGTCTATCTATGCAAGGGTGCATTCAGGTTAGGATATGCTGTCTAAAATGTTGTTGGTTTCCTGCTTCTCTTCTACTGTTTCTAGGCACAGCCTGCCAAGACGATGACAGTCACTTATTCCAGCAAAGTAGCAAATGCCACTTTCTTTGGATTTCACAGATTACTCCTAAGGTGGAAAGGCAGCATCTACAAATTGCTGTACAGAGAATTTATTGTTTTTGCTACTCTTTACACAGCGATAAGTGTATTATACAGGTACACTCTTTCCAATTCACATCTCATTAAATGTTATACTGAAGTTTCAAACTTCCTAGTGTTAGGCAGGTGAATGGTGGGGGGAGGTTACTACATAATTATTATCTTTTCCTTGGACTTTTCCGATGTGCTTTCCTTTCCATGTTTAGTTTACTGCTCCAGAGAAAGTATGTAGAGTGTAAATTCTCTTGTATTCAGCTGACTGTATTTTCAGCCCAGCATTGAGCAACTATCCTACTGAAGTTACACTAAATAAACACTCATAGCTTAGCCTTTGTTGTTCTGACATTGAGCTGGAGGAGGTGAGTGTGCCTCCCTGCTTTAGACAATCAGTATAGACCTTTTATTCTCCTTGCAGAACTCTTCAGTTAGTCAGTAGTAATTTCTTTAACAACCCCAAGAGGTAATAAGTTGAGAGTCAGATTATATAGCCAGGAAAAGCAAAGTTTTGCTTAAAGCTAGGATGGCATGCAAACCTTATTTCTAGGCTTGCAGAGAGCCAAGGAAAACTGCATGGAAGCCAGACATGGTTATTATCTGTGTGGCATCCAGCACCTGGGAGGATCAGTTAGAAGAGTTGCTTCTTCCCCCAAGGTGTGAATTAAACAGCTGTATGACAGATGGAATGCATCAATTAAAGCAGTGAAACTTTTAATTGATGAAGTACACTACATAGAAGTATCAAAATAATGATTCAGCTCTTGCCATGATCCATAATTATACCTGTGTCTGCTTTTTATGTAAAGCAAGGAGAAAACCAGTTTATGATTAATCAGTAATTTTCCAAAATGTTCAGTAATCTATGCCTATAAACTCAGAAAGAAAATTACAGTATTAATATGTAAGGAAGCAATAGAGACTCACATTCATTTAAATTAATCTGGTTTTACTGAAATGTCAGGCAATTGAAGACCATGATAAATACCCCATGGAAAGCTTTCTATATATGCTACAGCTTTTGTTGCACAATTGTAAACAAATCCCACCAAATATTTTTTATATGTTTCTTTTCTATGAAATCAAAGAATAACTGTAATAATACTCACCTATACAATAAAAAAAAAAGTTTCTATTTAAGCTTGTTTTATTTTGTATTTTGTTGCCATGGTCCGTTCATTTGCTATAAGTTGGTGAATATTTTCTGCACTGCAAAATAAATACAGTTGTCGTGTTTTTAATCTTATGGAAAAGAAAAATTTCATAACAGTGAGAGTAAAAAACTGCTGCAACATAATATTTTCAAATAAGAGCAATTACAGATTGATAACCTTTTGCAATTCAAGCAGACCTGAGTATTTTCATTAAGTACCCCTCTGAAAAAGGAGAGCAAACTCTACTTGCAGACTTACAGCTTACTATCATCCTTGTTCAGTATGAGGCAGCAAACTGAGTCTCTCCAGGTATATTAATCCTAATTAGTAGTGCCAGTCAAGTTAGTAATAAGAAAACTGCAAAGACCAGGAAATAATACTGTCTCCTCCAGCTTCTTTAACACATGCCAAAAGTGTCCAGCACGTTACCTTTAAGAATTCGCTTGAAGACATTAGCCAAGGTTGCTCCCCATTGCACATACCTGATTATTTATACATATTTGCACTTTGTAGCTAGTGCCAGAACGTTAAGAAAGGACAAATACATTTTATTTTTGCTGCAGATTTTTTCTTACAGGTAGCCAAAAACGGTTCTTTGAAAAATTATCAATTTACTGTGACAGATATGCTGAACAAATCCCAGTAACTTTTGTGCTTGGTAAGTACCGGTTACATGTGAAATTGTAACGCTGTCTCTGTCCACGCATTTTGTGAATATCCATGCATGGAAGCATTTCAGAGCTGAGGGGCATGTGGGATGTTAGAGGCTCACAATAAATCATCAGCTTCCAACAGGTCTCCTTAAATCAAGTTGCTTTTGTCACATCAACATTTATGTTTATGTTCTTAATATACCAACAAAAAAGGTTTCCATATATGTGTATATATATATATATATATATATATGTATATATATTGCAAAGTAACACTGATACATTATGCCTGATCTTTCAAGGCACTAAATTCACTTAAGTTTCACTGTAGAAGAGGAAATTTGGAAGTTCATGGTCTGAGATGCTCAGCTGGAATGTGCCATTACGTTGCAGTGTCTATTAAAAAATTAGCACTGATTGCATTCTGGGCTTTGACACGACTTACTGCATTTATTCTGGGAAATGTAGCAGCTTAGTGTTACGAATAATACTCTGCAAACTAAATCAAAGTAACCCAAGCAGAAATCTTGATAGGCATTGGACTTTTTTTCTTCTAACCCCCAGGTTTCTACGTTACTTTGGTGGTGAATCGCTGGTGGAACCAGTTTGTGAACTTGCCATGGCCAGATCGTCTGATGTTCCTCATCTCTAGCTGTGTCCAGGGCAGAGATGAGTATGGACGCTTGTTAAGGAGGACTCTCATGCGTTATGTGAATTTAACATCTCTGCTGATCTTTCGCTCTGTGAGCACAGCCGTTTACAAAAGGTTCCCCACCATGGACCATGTGGTAGGAGCAGGTATAGGAGTCCTGCTTTCCTTTCTCTCAGAGCTGGGGGCACAGGAAAAGAAAGAGCCAGACTCATTTTTTTTCCTCTGTGGCCCCACCTGTGCCATATACTACCCCACATTAAAGCAGTCACCTTTTTGTTAGTGACTTAAATGACGTGACCTTAAGAATGCATCTTTAATACTCCTAAAGTCTTCATTTCGCAACACTATAGAAATCAAATGAGTCTAAGACTCTTACTTCTTTCAGACACTGTGGCAATAGGCCTGCTCCAAACACTCAGGCATATGGAGCAGGTATAACATTCTCTAAAGCATGAAAAATAACAAAGCTGCAATACAGTGTGATACAGTAGGAATGGTTACTTGTTATATGCCATCACCTCAATGTCTAGGATATAACTTTGTCTCGAGTATCAGAAACTGATCTTTGCAAGCACTTCACGAGTACAGCTTTATCTCAGTTTATTTTAAGTAGACATTTTAAGTGTTGTGATTTACTTAGAAAAACCCTCAACCCCAAGGGTTTTTTCTTTAAATTTAAAACCTTACCTTAAACTTAGTTTTTTAATGTTAAATGTCCTAAGTATTAAGCATGTCTGCATTTTCTGTTTGTTTTGATAACACAGTGAATGTGATGATGTTGAAAGGAGTTCAGTCATGTAACACTCTGCTTGTTTATGAAGGACTGACCACTGAGCATTTAAAGGCAAGGTGTGACACTGTGTGCCTTCTGACTGGCATGGTCAGTCAGAGGCAGAACATCAGTGCAAAGATGTGGGGATCTGTTTCAAATAGGAGAAGTCATATGTTTTTTACTGAATGTCTTTCATTTCTTAAATTTCTTCCTCTGGCAGAGATTAATAAGCAAAGTTGCAGCACGTTAAAATATGCAGTGTACATATACATATGCACATTTTAAATATGTGTGAAAACCTTTGGATATTAAGAAAAGTCCAGGGAGAATGCACCAATCTTGTTGGGCAAAACAAATCATTTATTTTGGATTCATTGGATTTTGAAGTTCTTTTCCTTGTGCTGTGCAACAACAGTGTTTACCTGAGCTTGTGAGAGGTCAAGGAAGCTTCTGTCGCTCTCCCCAGCAACCTGCTCCTACTACGCACTGGAAAATTACAGCATTTCCAGGCAGCTAATCCAGCTCTGCCTCCCTATTGCTAAAGACAATCTGTTCCAAAAGAGACAGAATGTCACAGTGTTGTCCAAAAATTGTAGACTGGAAAACAAGTTTTGGTTGTTGGGTTTTTTTAACAGTGGAAAATATTCCACCATAAACTGTATATCTAAGTATTGATAGTGTAGTCAGCTCTAGATTTCAGTCCTTCTTCTGTAGGTTTTAATGCATATTGTGATGCAGAATTTTTATTGATGTAGTACTGAGCACTTCAGGGTACATTTTGCTCCTATTAAAGTCCAGTGATTTAGACAACGCTCTGCAATCATCCCCTCCCTAGCTCCCTATGGCATTGCATATCAGACTGCATGGGAGGGAGGCATTTAATAGGAATGTGAGCAGCAGAATGTGATACTTACAGCACAGTCATCATTGAAACAACTTGTGACGATTTTGCTGTCAAAGTGCGAACTGCCACAGTATAACTATTGCTACACATTTCTCTTTTCAGCAAATGAACTGCTTAAATTCATATATTTTAAATCTGGGAACAGGATCACGATAATCTAGTCTGACTCATCCATAACACAACACACAAAAGCTTACTAACAGCATCCTTTATCATGTTGCAATTTCTGACTAAGCTGTAATATCTTCTAGGAATACAACCAGCCCAGGTTTAAAATTCAGCTGGATATACTGGAGTCTACACTGCACCTTAGGTGAACAGACATTCTATGAACTCGCTGTTGAAGAGGGCAATTTTATTCTCAGTCTGAACTTGCACAGTGTCATCTTCTATTCACTGGATTTTGTAATGGGTTTGGGTTCTTCTTTTTTTTTAATTAGATGAAAACATCATTTTTCTCTCAATAGTTACCTGGTAGCAGAGTGCATAAAGGCTTGAATAAACCTCAGTAGCTTCGCCACATGTAGTGTCTCCCTATAGGATACGGTCTTCAGTGCTGGACCTTCCTCCTGACTCTTTTTTATATTCTAACATTCTCTGTGGAACTGTAGGCAGTAGATGCAGGTAGATTCATGACACTGAGATGCTGAGTGCTGCAGCACATATACAAATGCCTAGCAGCAGTCCTGAGATAGCACTTCTGTTGGCTGCAAGGTGCAAGGGGGAAGCTGGATGCTCAAGATCACAAGTCTTAAAAAACAGAGTAAAGAGTGAGCCACGGGGGAGAGAGCCCGAAAGAGCACCAAAAAGAGCTGATAGGAAATGCTGAAGTGAAACGTGAGGTGTGAACTCAACAACAAAGGAATACCTAAGGATGGCCGAAGTCTACAGTCTCAAATCCTCCACTGGAAGGAAGCATCTGGATTAACCCTTTCCCACATAACACAGAAACAGAAAGTGTAATTTTTATCTACTTGCTCATAGCTCCTTCTTCTGTAACCACTAGTATTCAGTATATTTTATATGGGTACCCTGAACCAGTCTTATCTCAAACCATTCAGTTCAGGAGAACTGAATACCGTTCTAATCACTTGAGGAAGAGCACAAGTGATTTTTTTTTTCCAGCCAGGCTTGTGTTCTCATCAATAATTATCCCATAAGACCTCTTTGGTTGGTATTGTTCACATTAGTGCCCTTTGATTCTTTATTGATTGCACCCCATGTCAGTCTTCTCATACTTTCATAAGGATTCAGTCATTCCTTAGATCATCCTTTTCAAGATTTTGGCACAATATTTGACAAATATTTCTGGTTTTCTGGAGCTGCTCCAGTCTTCCAGTGCTTATCAAAACCAGTGCTCTATAGAGAGTTTCTCAGTTAATTCTTTAAATACTCCTAAAAACAAATAGTATGACCACATTCAGAAACCATATAGTTTTAATAACTGGGGTTTGATATCTTCCCCTGCATTTGATGGAATGTAAAATGTTTCTTTACCACTGCAATAACAGCAAGTTGTTCTGAGCCATATGTTGTCTGTCTTGCCATCACCTTCAGTATGAGCAGTAAGAGCAATCCAGAATTATTATTTTCTGCAGTAAGAATACTAGGTCTAATATCAAATTGAACTTTATTGTTCAAAGAACAAAACTTTGTTGAGCTTTCCTGAACAAAAGTGCTCAGTTTCAGTGGAAAGCTGAATTGATCCTTGGAGCTTTGCCATTCTTTGTGACTCCCCTCAGGCTGTGTCCTTCCATGTAATGACTTCCCAGAGCCTCCAAGTAACTTGCATCCAGTGGTTACTCCAGATTGTTTGTCTGTCTGCTTCAGCCTGACAGAAACATCTTTTCCTGTCCTATAATGATCAGGCTGGTCAGATAGAAATGGAAGGCAGCTTAAAAGACTGAATCTTAGGAGTCATGAGTTATGACTAACAGGTCAGTTTGTCTGGTTGCCTGATTATTTCTGTACAGTTGATTATGAGAGCCGGCTGCAAACTGCCCAGAGACCTTTTAAAAGCTTTATCTTATTCTGTTCTCAAATTCCAGGATACCACAGGAGTACTGTGTCTTGCTGCTGAACATTTCCTCTATCACAGAATATTCTGTTCTTCCCTCTCAGTAGTTGCAGTATTTCAAATCTCCTGTGTTTACTTGTTGCAACTGCACAACAGTGACATCTTCCTCAACAACACAATACTGAAGAAGGTCACTGTGTTTAGCAAATTTTCTTTATCCTTGTTCACATTTTTATATGACACAACAAAGTTTCTGTATATTTATTTTTTTTGCTGCCTCATGTATCTTTAGCAATGTTAGCAACTTTGGACATATTCTTAGTTGCTAGTTGGAGTCTACTTTCAATTCCCTTATTGAATTTTCAGCATTCAAACTTATAATTGATTGGCTGAGCCACTTATTTTGGAGCTGTCACATTACTAACTTTATCCTGTTTCAGAGCTAATGTCAACACAGCAAAAGAAGCTTTATACCCACCCTGTTAGATGACACACATCTGAGCAAAAATTAAGCTCCTCCAAATCTGAGGATTGCTTCAATCCCAGAAAAATCTAGGATTTGGACAAAGGAAGATGGGAATTTTCTGAAATTGCTTTTATCCAAGGCTGGGTGGAAGGAGGACAGAACAGCAGAGCTTTCTGCACAAATGGGGTAGAGATATTGCTCCAAAGCCCAGCTGCTCCCTTGCCAAGTCCCAGACAGCGAATGGCTCTGACGCAGGTTTTGTCACACAGAGCCCTGGCTCCCCTGATATTTGACCATGGACTTGCTTGCATTATGAAGAAGAAGGATTTCACAAGGCAGGGGAACTATTCAGGAAACATAATACCTTCCCAGCACCCCAGCAAGGCAAATTGCCAGGCAGAGAGCAGCTTTAGCCTGCAGCCCCACAGCATGTCACCTGGCCCAGTGTCTCATTAGCAGCAGGATTTCTGTTCATGATTCCCCCTCCATCTCTTTGCATGCCTTCATAACCCCAAAGAAAACATTAAACAATCTGGCAGAAAAGTATTTCACTGGCAGAAGGCACACTCTCTGTTGAGCTCTGTTTCATGAATGCACTTGTATCCTCTGTTGCTTGCTCACTGCTTTGCAAATTTACCAAAAAATTATCAGAATCAGAAGGTCGTGTAACTGCCTTTACAACATGTGTTGAGATGCTGCTGAAAGCTGTCATTGCTGAAAAGTGAGAGTTTCTTGACTGATATATCCTGTTCCTTACTTTTCTGAAAGCAGAATATGAAACTAGAGAGTAATTTGTACAATTCTTAGCATTATATGTATCTACAATATGTCAGCAGTCAGACATGAGAACACAGTAATAGCAAATTATTGCCTATATTGGTAAAGAAGAATTTTGCATAGATAGCTAATGCAAAAACAAGTTGTTTCAAGCAAGATCTATCTTGGGGAAAAAAAGAGCAGTCTACTAATTATAATTATAAATTGTGTTTAGAAGAGTTCTATGCAAATATCACATAAACAGATTCAAACATATTTAAAATTTATAGTATCAGTAGCACTGAAAGCACAGAATAAATTAAGCTTGCTTTTTTTTTTTTTTTTTTTTTGGTAAACAGGTTTTATGACAAGATATGAAAGAAAACTTTTTGATGAACTTAAGTCTCCCCACTTGAAATACTGGGTCCCATTTGTCTGGTTTGGAAATTTGGCATCAAAGGCACGAAAAGAGGGAAGAATTCGTGACAGCGTAGATCTGCAGACACTGATGAATGTAAGTAGAAGAAGTAAATCTACAGAAAACTAATCTGATATTGCTAGGTGGTAGCTTTTCTCTTACATAATTGATTTTATTTAATGTGCACAGATCTCCTGTGTCATCTAAATTATCTTATTCAGGGTTTATCCCAGTTTTCATTGTGTATCAATGTACACTCAAAAACACACAGCTGCAGTCCTCTAGGATTCTTCTTATATGACTAAGAAGTTATTAAAAGAAGAAACAAATTGAAGATTAAAATATTATTGTAACATCACTGTAAATTCATACTTGTTCCGTTGCTGATAATATGAGAAATGAGAATAATCTAGCATTTTGAAGATTTTAATATAAGTTTCAGGGAAGATAATCTCCCTGAATATTTCATTAAGTGGTAAAACATCCTTTTTATGATATAATATATTCTCTTTCATGTATCACTAGACTGGGGATAAGATAGAAACAGAAGATAGTTTGTGAAGAAATACATAAAATACTAAGCATTCCAATTCCATAAACCAAGTGAATATTCAAAAGGAGTGCTGGATATAGTTATGGTATCAATTTACATATACTATATTTCCATATCTCCCTCTCCTTTTATGTGTGCAAAAATGAACTGTCACAAAATATTTATAATTCATAATGGTACCCCATGCAATTTTATTTTGTTGGGGTTTGTTGTTTTTTGTGTGTTTGTTTTTTTCCCCTTTAGGAGATGAATAAATACCGGTCTTGGTGCAGTCTTTTGTTTGGATATGACTGGGTTGGAATTCCATTGGTCTATACCCAGGTACTGAGCTATTTTCCTTTAGTAAATTTGAAACATAATTTCCATAAATGGGGAGGTTGGTACCAAACATTCATAGTCTCAACCAGAGTCTCTGAGCTACAGAGCACTGGTTCATTCCCACAGGACCATGGAGGCCTTGCTAACTATTTAAGTCATATTTAATGCAGAGATGTTTTGAAGATCTTGCATAGTTTGGAAGAGGGGAGGGAAGCACTAAAATGTTTTTGTGTTTCCTGGGTGTCCTTCCTGGCCATAATTATACCTGTGGCCTTTCTATTTGCAATACCTCCCTACAGATTCATAAATTATACGGCAAAAGTCAGACACTGGTCTTTGGGTATGTGTAGCTTTGTGCATAAGATTGTATTATTCCATTATTTCAATTATTCAATTATTTCAGTGAAGTTTTGTTCTTTGCAGGTTGTTACTCTCGCAGTCTATACTTTTTTCTTTGCCTGCCTGATAGGACGCCAATTTTTGGATACTGACCAAGGGTATCAGGGCCATGACTTAGATATTTACATTCCAATCTTCACACTGTTACAGTTCTTCTTCTACGCAGGATGGCTCAAGGTAAACTAGCTTTCTGGAAAGGTGGTGGGGGGACCCTCTCCATGGGGCTGGTCAGTGTGTCAGATCTGTGACATGCTGTAAAATCACCAAAGATTACCGGAGTTACACCAAAGCTGAACTCAGCCCCAAGTGTTCTGTGGTCGTACAGAAACATCATGCAATACATTTTTAATTCCACCTGATTGAACAGCAAGAAATGGTCATGAACCTGAAAGAGCCCATTTGAGTAGCACCAATGCAGCCACAACTCCCCAGGGGAATATTACTCCAGAAAAATCAGGTCTCAGGGCTTGGCCTATAAAATGACAGATGAAAGCTAAAAAAAAAGCCTTTTTCCCACTCCGCTGTTCAGTGGGGAAATGTTGCTGCAGACCTGGCATTGGCTGAAAGGGACTGAATCACACTTTCTTCTTGTAATCAAAGCCAGCCTCTAGTATCTGCTGTTAACCTCACCAGATGCAGGCAATTAAAGGTCTCCAGTTCCAGGGGGCTATGAAAGCCACTATTGGCTAAAACTGCACTACATAAAAACATTCATTAAAGAGAGTTACAGAAGGAATTGGATGGACCCATCAGCCCACTGATGACCGCTAGGTTAACATATCACCATCAGTCTGATAGCTGAGTAATTAAGCCATATACCTCAAGGTGGTTCTCTCCTCTGAAGTAGAGTAACTGGAAAAAAGTTTCAAATAAAAATCAAATTGATACATTAGGGTCTGTGCATATTAATATTTCCTTTTGTGTTTCCTTTTATGGCTGGAAACTTAGAGGAAACTTATGACTTTTCTGTTAGAATATATATTGCACAAAATTTGCCGGTTTTAGAGCCCCCTTTTCCCAGCCAGCTCCAAAGGGTAGAGAAGACAGCACACTCAGCTGGCAGGTTGTGAGGAAAGTAAGGTGCCTGTAGGGCAAGCTCATCTAGTCCTGCGTCCTAGGAAATCAGGGGGAAAAAGGGGTTTGCTGCATAGGGACCATCCCAGGTGGGAGCAGGAGAGAGAGGAAGGGAGGCTGGTGTACTGAGGGTAGCAATTTCTCCTGGAGAAAAGTGAGGCTTTATCTCTAGGCAATGTCTTCCAGGGTTTTACTAGTGGGTTACAAAACTATAAGCTGTTCCTCTTGACTGCCCCTCTGGTGCTCCTGAGGGAAAATGGTTCCCCCTTCATCAGCACCGAAGGATGTTAGTAGCATCTCTTCCAGTTAGGCTCAGGGCTTCCAGCCAGCTCCTGGCTACAGCAGGTATGAGATGCCATTGTAACTGAAAAATCTTCTGGATAAGGAAATGAAAGGGAGGAGAAGAAGTTTCAAAATTTAACATCAGCAGTGTTCCCTCAGACCGGAGGTTCGTCCAAACCTTCAGTGCCCCGAGTCAGGATATTTCTGTCTTGAAGGTTACAGCCGGTTTCCTGCTGAGTGTTTTGGGCTTTGGCTGCCAGGTAGCAAAATGGGCCCTGAGATATTGACTTCCAGTAATTTGGCAATTCCTCAGAAATAATGACTAAAGTGAGCTCATTCCTTGGCCTCAAGCCTGGTCTGTTATACCTACAATACAGGGCCAAATTTTCCCATCATGTGAGACACTTCTAAATCCCCATTTTCATTACAGGGATAGATGAACTGTCCAAATACAGAGTTTAGTTGTCCAGCACTACATTCCTTTCTGGAGAATAAACCCATGCCTCACATTCCAGGATCAGGTCAGCCAAGCAAAAGGCCACCACTGCCGTTCCTTCTGTCCCAGTGCTGCTTGCTTTTTTAAGCTCATGTGATAAGTTTTTTGGGTGGTGACCTCTGCTTCACACGAAGCTGATCCAGAGCCACAGCACAGACTTGTGTTCTGGTTCCTTCTTATTGCAGCACTTTCCTGGCTATATCCAGAACTTAATAGCATAGGCCTAGTCAACGAGTGTGAGCAGAGGTGCCCCCTGCCTTCCTTCATTCCTCCTTACATGTGTGTTCATAGGGTTAGTGTACTCAGCAGTTCCTTTGTTATAGATCAGTGCTGGCCTGGGAAGTGCTGGCCTGGGAGAGCCAGCTTAGCCATGGGTGCAACCTAGAGGCACATAGGAGAAATAGCCAGGGAGCGACTGCTGCTCTTCATAGTGAGGTGAACGAGCAGGACTGTTTAATCATACAGCTTCTTTACCCATATACACATTAAATCAAGGACCTGATTGCTGCTTCTGTGCATGGCTGTAGTGACCACTAGGAAGGCTTTGAAGGGTCATCAAGAATGCGACTGGCTTCAAAAGCAGGGCTTAAAAAGATAAACAGAAGGAGAAAGGCATGGAGGGGAGAGAATATTTAACCTCAGTGTATCGAGGAAGTAAGAAATAGAGAAGCAGACTGCATTTCCTAAAACCTTTTTTTTTCCTTTTCATCTTTTTTTTCCACCCTCAGTGGCTATGCTCTTTCTCCCCACAATTCTTTGATGATCATGGGGATGAAGGGGCAGTCTCTGGTTGTTTTTCTACTGGATGTGGGAAGCCAGAAAGGGTTCTCTTCCCAGACTCGTTCCCAGACTAAGGTGCCTCACCACCAATGTGCCTGAGCTAACTGTTTGCTTATCTCCTCCACAGGATGGGCTTCTGCCCTGCAGTTTCAATCACTTCAGGTACAGAAACCCAACCCAGCAGGCTAAATTAAAGAACAGACTCTGATTCCATCTCTTGGATTTGGCTAGCATGATGCACGGAGTCTGCTTGAGTCAAGGTTTTTGTGGGTTGTTTTTCTTGAAAAGTTGTAGAAGGTTGCCAATAGGATTAACCCTGATAAAGAAGCAGAGTCTGAGGGCTGAGCTGGAGAGACAAGCTCTACTCCATCCAGCAAACTCCAGCTGCAAGGCTTGGGGATACTGACCCACTGGGCTGGTAGACTATCATAGACAATAGTGCAGTAACAGAGCCCCTAGCTGCTGAACCATTCACTCAAATGAGCCAAAGACAACAGTAAGGGAAGGTAATGACTATCTTATGTGACAATCACCCTGGGCCAGACATGTCTCAGTTCCCAGTAGGCCAGCACCAACAGTCATGATTGACAGCACCAACAAAGCACACAGTTATGTATCTATAGGGAAATTAAGCTGTTCCTTCGCTAGGCTGGCAAAACCATCAAACAGGAGATCAAGCTATGATTGCAAATAACAGGCAGGGAGAGAGAGAAAAATCCAGTCTTACTTTCTCTGCAGCAGTAGTCCTGACATGGCATGCTGAAGTCTCTTCACTGTCTCATTTTCTTTTCAGGTTGCTGAACAGCTTATTAATCCATTTGGAGAAGATGATGATGATTTTGAAACTAATTGGTGCATCGATAGAAATTTACAGGTTGCTGTTGTTATTTCTACTTCCAGCTTTTCTGTATGATAGGTTAAAATTACATTTAATCCTATTTCTTAAATTGAGGTACAAATTAGGGCAACAAGTGTCAGCAAAACAAATTCTTTCCCTGAAGGCTGTGATCCTCAGAGTTTGTTTCTACAAGCTAATTCATTTTGATTTTGGTATCTGGTGTTTATGATGACTGATAAAACATGCAAACAGCTGATCTGTAAGATCACTTTATGCTTGGAAAAACATGTAATGTAGGTCAATCCTGCAAAATCCAAAAGCTATTCCCACATAGATAAGAACAGATTTTGCTAATCTGAATGTTTTGAGATTAAAATATTGCATATGAACCTTCCTTTAAAAATAAAAAAGGCAGTGAAAATGCTAAAAAGACCAAGCAGGGCCCTGAACTAGTAAGCAGGGCCAGAACCATTCATCTTCTGACACTGCCACCCACAGCAGTATCTATGGTTGGCACAGGAGCCAGTGTCTTTAGTGGCAGGAGCTGTGAGATGACCAGGGTACAGATTTATAGCAGATACCCCCAATTCCCAAACAGCCCCTTTCTGTTGTGCCATGAAGGAGCTCAGTGACACGAGAAGGCACCTGCCACTCCCCTTGCAGAGAGCCAAGCACAAGGCTTGGCACTGAGCTGCTGTCGGACTCCACTTCAGCTGGGGACCACTGAGACAGCAAAGCAGAGCCCAGGAGTTAGAGGGAGCAAGGGCAGACCAAGCTAACCACCACATTAAGCAAAGTAAGCAATGCAGATCTGCACAGGAGTGGAAAAGGACTTCACACTACCAAAGATGCTCTCTGGCTTAGCACTACCTCAGGGTATTCATGCTACAGTGCCTTACAGCCTCTTGTACAAAATATATCAGAAGGCCCTAGAAAAGGATGGTCACATACTTGGTTCTGAATGTCTTAAAATGGGGATGAAGCTTATCAGAAAGATTCTTGACCTCCAGACATTTTAAGGAGCACGGCTAATACTTTACACAAACTTTCCATAGGACATGGAGGATCACATTTAACTACATCACGCGTGTGGAAAGGACTGCAATCTGACATAAATATTTTTGCAGTACAGAAGACTCAAGTTAAAATAAAATTTATACTTTCACAAAAATAGGTGGGTATAGGGGAGTTATTTTAGAATAATGAGTCTCTTCCTAATGCCCAGGTCATCACACACAGCTTATGTTAAAGGGTTTCTGAAAGACATGTTGACCCAGGGAATATAAAGCATATTATTTCATATACTGTACTATGCTGAAAGTGACATGATTTATACCCAAAAAAAATCTAAGGTCTCACTTCTGGCGGTGGATGAGATGCACATGAACTTGCCAAGGATTGAGAAAGATATTTACTGGAATGATTCCTCTGCCCGACCTCCCTACACAAAAGCAGCTGCTGATTACTGTATTCCTTCATTTCTTGGATCAACTATTGAAATGGGGTGAGTGGTACTAAGGTCCTTAATGGCATCAGAATGATCACCACCTCTACAGCCCACGCTGATTGACAGACAGTCAGCACAGGGCTGTGATGATACTGCAAGCGGGGGAGACAGAAATGGGAAATGATGTTAGGAGGGAGTGGAGAGGCTGGTGTTGGTGGGATGATGTCTCCAGTGGTCCATGTTTGCATACAAATCATGCACACATAGCTAGATTGTATAATTAGTAAATAGAGCAGGTTTGCAGGGAGAGTTTATTGCCAGTCTCTGAGCACCGGATGGCACCTGAAGGCAGTGACTGACTTTTCTTAATAATACTTTTTTCACTACAGCTGCTTCATACACCCTCAATTAGCAAAATAGCTATTACTTTGCTTATTTAGTTAGCAAATGACAGCTAAAAACAGTCCAGATTTTTGTGAAGATCAATAACAAGTAATTTTAAATGTTGTATGACTTTTCATTGACTAATAATCTGGGCACGGCAGTTGGAGCAGACAGATTTTGTGAAGGGATGAAGACGATTTACTTGGAAAGATCGACAGAAGAACCATCACTACAAAGAAACATACAGAGGATATAGGATTGTCCCCTGTTGTTGGGATCTATCTGAGAAATCAGTGATAGGCCAGTTGGTTTAGAAGCTGTCACTTTAAATACTTGTGACACAGTGTAATATAGACAGGTCAGTAAGTGTAAATCCTATCACGACTGAACAAATACCAGGCAATATCAGATGTTCTTGTTTGAAAATCTTTTCTAAAACTTTACAGTAGCCATTTTGTTAGCTTTAAAAATTACCTCAAGATGTTAAAAATTTCCCATTATTTCCCACCTTTATCAAAATAAAAGGTGCTTAATTTTTTTGTTTCATTTGGCCTCAGAATTGCTGGTTTCTCATTTTTATTCCTCTTATTTTTTCACTTTTGCATGCATTCTATTACAAAAGGCAGTGAGTTTGTATGAGTTCCTCTTATTACAATCAGACTCTTCAGGATTATTTCCTTCTGGAAAAACTATAAAATTACAAAGAGAATAGTAAAGGACAAAGTTAAAAAAGTAAAGAAGGAAAACTCATAGAACATAATTTATTTTACTGCAATTGCTAGGGGGAAAAGGTGGCAAAGAAGAAACATTATTACGTCTGCAAACAAATTTTTTAATAAGAAGGACTTCTCACAAAATATGAAGGAAGGAGTGAATAAACAGTAGCTCCCTGTTAGCCCTGTGAAATGCAAACAGCTCTGATGTGTTAACTTTTTATTATTTTCTCATCTGAGTTGTTTCTCTGTGTATATCTCTAAAAATAATGGGTTGTTCTTATGCAGACTTCAAAAACAAGTTCTAAAGATTCTCCAAGTCCAAAGCAAATATACGAAACTTGAGCCCAATTCCAAAGCCTTCTTTAGTCACCTCAAGTAGACACCTGGAACAGGTTGCTCAAAGAGGTGGTAGATGTCCTATTCCTGGAAACATTCAAGGTCAGGTTGGATGGGACACTGAGCAAGCTGATCTACTTGAAGCTGTCCCTGTCCATTGCAGGGAGGTTGGATTAGATGGCCTCTAAAAGTCCCTTCCAACACAAACTATTCTATGATCTTCACAAATGCTGAATGAAATTCCTCTGTCCTCCAGGGCAGTGTTGCCCCTCTGTGCTCCTTACCTTAGATTAGGCCTGAGCCCCTTTGCCATTCTTGCCCTTAGGACAGATATCTAGGCCAGTTTGGCTTGTCCTCTGGGGTGCACTGAGTCAACAATGTGTACTGAATTGACTGGCAGGTGCAGCAACAGTTGTTCTCATGAACCACCAAGGCTACTCAGGAGAAGAGTACCAGGTACAGGTGAGACTTCCAGACATGCTATCATGCCCCAGGAGTGAGATTTGGCCATCTGAGTAATTCCAACATTTTTTGAAATCGTTGCACTCTGCTTCCAGCAGTAGCTTTTTCACTGTTTTTATTTTTGCCTGAAGGATTCTCCTGAAAATAACTACAGCATCAAGCAGGACTTCTTTCTTCCCTTTTCCTCACTCTAAGCATAAGCGTAACCATGTAGAGCTGCCTCAAAGGGCTGCAGCCCGAATATGAAATGGTGCCAGATGCCTGGCTGGGTGGCCTCCCAGCCTGGTCCTCAGCAGAAGGGGCACCTGGATATTGAGAGCTCTCTATGTGATCTGGCTGGTTCAAAGGCACAGGCACTATTTCCTGGCACTCTCACCCTTTTCATGCTCTTCCTTAGGGACACACTAGGGCCTTGGCTCCTATGTCTTCTTGCTGAGACAGCGGGATATATGTGCATTGAGACCTAATACTTCCTATGCGTAAGTGACACCTACTACCGGCTTTATTTGGCAGGCTGGCTGATACCGATTTCCTCTATGGGGAAGAGTGGCCCTGGGAAGAGGAGAAACACCGAAGGCAATATTCAGTGTTGAGAAGAGTGAAGAGATTTCTCAGTGTCCACGAGGGTCCTGCATACCCCACTCACCAGCGCTACAGTCGACAGACAAGTGAGAATTCGGTGTTTTTCCCAGCAGATGAAAAGGGGCACATCAGACGCCTGCAGGAAATGCACACAAGAGGGAGACACTCTGCCTCCAGTTTCAAGAAGAAACACGAAGGAGTTGACAGAAGTAACAGACTTCACAGTAGCCGAGATCTAGGACCCATAACTGAAACCTCCAGGAACGAGGCACAGTTCGGCGACAGTGACACCTCAACTGAGACAAACAAGCCAGTTCCTGAGGTCATCATCTCTGAAGCCGAGGAAAATGCACTTGGCACAGTGGACAAACCAGGTCTGCCAACAGAGCGCTCCGCAAGCATGCCAGAAGAGAAGCTCCAAAGGATCCTAGCTGAGGCAAATGTGGCTCTTCTGAACCAACCTTTTTTCCCCCCAGAAATGACTACATACATCTCAAGCTCGGAGGTGCATCAGTCACTTCCTAGTGTGATAGGAGAGACCAAACATGAGCCCCACGGTAGTAACATTGCTGGTCTCATAACAGATGATGAGAGAAACCTTCAGCGATGGAGTTTACCAAGTTTCCATAGTCCTAATACAGGACCTAGTACAGCTGACAGTGAGCCACCTTTAGCAGATTCCAGGACAACTTCACAACAAAAGATCTTCAGTGATGGAAACAATATTACTTCTGCTGCTGCACCAGAGACGTTTGAGATGCAGCACTTATGGGAAAATATGGACAGTAGAGAAACAGCCATAGTAGAATTTTCTAATGAGGAAAGTGAAAGAAAACTTTGACCATGCTTCCTCTGGATTTGACTGAACTTCTTGTCTTCTCTTGAACATGGTTCTCATACAGAATTGCTGAAAGTGCAGAAGGGTAGACTTGATGCTCAGACAAGTCCTGAGCAGGATCCAGCAGAAGATTTGGGACCTAAATAAGAGGCATTATGGTGCCTCTTATTTACCATCAATGCACAGGACAGCAAGCTGTGTGGGCTCAAATAGAGGAAAAAAATAAGGTTATCAGAAGAGTGGAGACAGTTCTGTCCACTTTGAATCCACACCGAACACTGCTGCCTTTGTCCACTCCATCAGGTTAAGGTCCATGACATCCTTGTAAGACCTATGAAGACTTTTGTTTTCTATTCAAGTGGCTCAAAGGCAAGGTGTGGGCTCAATTCTCTCCTCAGCTTGGAGAGATTCAGCCCACCATCTCTTACTGCCTGGAGGAACACTTGAAAAATCAGGCTCCTCATTTGTGTAAGACAATAGTCTGCCCCACTCTGAAGCTATGCCACTGGAAAAATAAAAGGATTAAATGTTTAAGAAAGATGGAAGAGGCACAACTGCTGATGAGTAGGGCATGGGAAGTCTTATTCTTGGTCTTTGCTCCCTGGAGTATGTATGTGGCATACCCAGTGGCTGGTTAGTGTAAAATGAGAGTCCCAGGTGGCCTCTCTAGTGATGACAGGGCTGTGGCACTCTCTCAAGGGGTGGTGGAGCTGCAGGGACAACTGAGCTTAGAGCTGCAATCTCGTGGAGATCTTCAGCTGGAAGTGCACGGGCTACAGTCATCCCAGGCAGATAACAAAATGGCCCAGGACCACTAGCAAAATTGCTTTCCACTTCCTTCCCCTGCCCCCATTCCCATGCTTCCAGACACACCACACGCATTCTCCATTAACTCAAACCTACACCAGCATTAGGTGGCTGCTGCTGCTCCAGGGGGGGCCAAGCCACCTCCTTAAACCTCCTGGTAGTGATCTGGCCTTTCAGCTGTCACTCCTGCAAGACGTCTCAAAGCAGGATAGGAAAGCAGTAGCAGCTCCTTGTTTTTAGCTCTTTACCCACATTTACAGAAACACAGTCCAGAGCATGTCACCAGCATTCTCCCATGAGTAAGTACCCAAGTAGATTGTCTCCATGGAAAAGGGGGAGACCAGATAGCTCAAGGGATGGAAAGAACAGAGAGAAGGGGAGACACAGAAAGTTATGGGTCTGCAACAACCAGCAGAAGCAGTTTGGACTGTATGGACAGCAAGTCTACCCAGCTCTCTTGCCCAGAAGATTTCACTTCAGACAATAAACCAGCATCTCTGACAGGGTAACTGTAGCTCCAGCGGCTTCTGGGAGTCTTTAGGACTCCCTGAACTTGGGAACAAGCTCCTTCTTCTCTGGCCAACAACTCAGGTGAGGAGCCCTTTCAATAGGCTATCACATACAGCAGGACTCTGCTATCTCATCTGGATAGTCCTTGAACAAAAATCAACTACCCTCCCCACTTCTTCCATCATTATTTCAGTCTGGGAATTGGATCCTGATAGTGTATATTAGGCAGGGTATGAGCAGAGTCACCCTTGCAAATCCTCCAAAGAAACTTGAAAAAGCACATATATCCCCATCAGATTAGGAAGCAGAGGACACTTGACTCAAGGAAGAGCTGTTTAAACTCATATTATGTGAATTCTATGCATGCAGAAAAGCCAAGCACAGATTTCCCAGGCACCTTTGGAGGCACTTCTTCACAGCTCATGAGATGAGGTGACACTGGTGTCTGACAGCAGCTTAGTGCAGTTTGATCACACTTTGGAGTGAGGCGTTCTGGTGCAACCTCACCCTTGCCACTCCACACTAAGTCCTCAGGCAAATCAAGTTCTTATGTTCAGGTTTGACCAACAAAAGGAGAAACTCTGTGAAATGAAATTATATTGAAATAAACAGCACCTTAGCCTAGCAGTTCAATTTTCTGAATGGCCCTTCCTAGGCAATACCCAGCTCTGGAAGCATTGCCTCTTTCCTCCTGATTCCCTGTTTCTTCTTGTAGCTGAAGCCATACTTTTCTATTCAATATTTTCTCAATTTAATTACATCTGCAACTGTCAAGGAACTTCATTTGCCAATGAGGTTAACTTCAACAAATGGTAAATTTTAAGTATAAACAATACACTTTAAGGATACCCAGACAGCTCCAGTAGAACAGATAGAAACAAAGTAAAAGTAACTGCAGCTCCCCTCTGTAGCACTTTTTATTAAAGTCAGGAGAGCAATACAAATTTCTGGGGAGTTTAGCCATACACAGTTTGGCTGTACATGTATAGGAAGGCTTTTCAGCAGCTGCAAAGAAAGTCTGGCCCATTATCAAGCTTTCTCCTTACAGTACATAAGGTTGAGGAACAGCGCTTCCCACTGTAAGGGAATTTAAGCCAGAAATTAGAGATGACTGTCAAGAGTCCCTGACAAATCTGTACTGAGAGCCCAGTCCCATCACACCTCACTAATCCTTCACACAGCTTCCACCAGGGTTTAAGGTGTTGGAGGAAAGTGCTCTTTCTCCTCAACCCAGACATCTGCATGTTTTATCTCAGCACTGCTAAGCATGAAAGAGCCTCCCCAGCTTCTCGTCATCCAGCTCTGCTCATCTTCCATCATCTTCTCAGCCTGGTCACCGCCTAGGATGCACACTGCTGCTTTCCACCAGGACATTATACATTTGATTATACATCAGTAATGATTTTGCTGCTTCTCCCACTCACTCTGCCAGCACCCGCTGTCTTCACTCTTTGATGGAGGCTAAGGGTGGCCACACAGCAGCCATTAGACTGATAAAAGCTTCAGTCTTACAGATGTGTCTCCTAGACATGTAGACGTATGTTAAATTAGGAATGACAGCTCTGAGGTCACACAATGCAATCTGCAATAAACAACTAGCATTTCACACAGTGGGACAGCTCCAGGTTAGCTATAATATTCTGCTCATTGCTTGTAAAGAAGCTAGTGCTGGGATGAGTTACCAGAAAAAATTCTTCTCCTCATTTAATCTGTTATCTCACTTTTGCAAACACATGTGGTTTCTGATTTGTATTACATTATCTTTTGGGGTTATGTGCTCTCTTTTCTTAGTAAACTATTTGCCTTAGCATGGTAAATGGATTATTTTAGCAGACCCAACAATCTAAAATTCACATTCACAGGTATAAGCAACGCTGAATTACTGCATGAATAAAGGCACTTTGAGAAACACCATTATCTTGATTGTACTGAACTCTCAAGAAGCGTTTCTGACAAAGGTTTGACCTACCGGGCAAGTCAACTTGATGTCTACCAGGAACAATGACACAGATTTGCAAAAGTTGGCAAAGCTGGAAAAGGAGAGAACAGGACCAGGTTAGCCAAATAGGTCAGAGCAGCAGCTTGCTCCTATCAAATGGTGTTAATCTTGAGCAGGATCAGATATATCAGAACAAAGAGAGGGCCAGCCAGGCCCTCTACATGTTGCCTGATTTCTAGGTTGTGTTCACACTCTGCACTGAAATTCATAGAGCCAAGATGTCACTGCTGGGACTGATTGGTTATAGGGACATGTCTCAGCAACCTTAAAATCTTTGCCATAAATAACAGATCTCTGACTGCAGGCTCATCTCTGAGGTATATATATGTATTTTAGAAATAATGGAAATGTACCAAAGTGTTAAGTCTGTTGCATAGTAGAGAAAACAAAAATACCCTGCTACTGTTAAATGAGGAAAAGAGCTTTACAGATGTTTGTTTGTCTTGGTTTATGACCAAACAAATTATGTTTGCTAGATAAATAAGTTAGCTCATATAAGTTATCCATTCTTAAATAGTGATAAGGACAAAGGGGAATCAAGGCAAGATTGGCCTAAAATACGTGATAACTTCACCCAGCTCAATCTTGTCTGCAGAAAGAGACAGCTGGCAGCAGAGTCTTCTTTGCTGGAGGTTGATAGCCTGGATGCCAAATGTGTAACACAATGTGGCTGCAAATAGAGAGTCATGAAAACAGGCACAGGAGAGAGGGAATACTTCATACTGGAAGGCAAGATCAGTGTGTCAGAGATACCTACAGGCAAACTGTCTTGTTTTAGTAATACTTATTCAGTATTACAACTAAAGCCTCAAAATCTAAGGGGCTGTGATCGTAATGCTGCCAAGGCCAGCAATGGATGTTGACTTTGGTCCGTGCTAATCACATCCAGGCACACAGCAGCAGCAAATCCCTGGGGGCCACCAACCCCTGTTCCAGCAATGCCACTATGGGGCCAGTCTCCAGACCCCCATGGCTCTGCCCTGCTGGAGAGGTGCCAAGTGCACAGGGCTGGTGGACATTTTTTGGCTTTAGGAAGACACATGCCAACACGCCACATATTTCCCCTCCAGGACACAGAGCAATTTTCAGTTGCTGTTACACCCTCTCCTCCCCTTCCTCTTCAGCACTGGAACCACTGAAGAAAATAAAAAATGTAGCTGAAACAACACTAGGACCAAAGCAGATTTTGCTTGTTTAAGTTTTATTCATATATACTGGTGCAGTATCAGTTTTAGCAATCCAAACAAACACTCCAATGGGTATAATTTTGGTGAATCTTCTTTTGCCAAATCAGTGCAGCTGCCTGTGGCTGTTTCACCTGAAATGGCTGCCAAGGCTGATGAGAAGTGGGTGAGCAAGAGGCAGTAGATGTCTAGTGCTGGTGCACATCTGAGGTGGAGGGAACTGTGCTATGCCTTTGCATGGGCTGAGGTCTGGGTTTTGTAATGTGAATGGATGCAGCTCCAGCTGCTCCAGCTGCCAAGGGGCAGAGGTGTCAGGTGCTAAAAGCAGCATCTGACCTAAGACATGGACATTAAATGCTGAGACCGAATAGGAAAATACCCAGGGATAATGAACCTAAGGGAAAAAGCAGGTTTGAGTGGTGGTGTAAGGAGCAGGAAATTGTGTGCAAGGAACAGTAGTGAAAATTAATGGTCACACAGGCAATAGTCAAATTGCCTTTTATATAAGCTGGTTGGAGCAAGCTAACTTAAAGAGAATTTCCTTGGCACTAGGGAAATAAAGTTAAGCAGAATCCAAACCATGGAAAATAATGAGGGAAAAGAAAGCTGTAGAAAATGAGGTGGAAACTAGCAAACAAGAAGAAAAAAAGGATAGCCAGAGCAGGCAGGACTGGGATTAATTTCCCCACTCATGACTGCTATCATGTCAGACTGGCACTGTTCAGCATTTTTATTCTTCCTGATCTTTTGCAAATCTGAGTGCTGAGCTGTTTCTGCTTTATCCTGAGAGCTGCGGTGTCCATCAGTTACTCAGGAAATATTGTTTCTTGGTTGTAAACATATAGATATTGAACCAAACTATATCATTTGGGACAAAGATCACTGCAAAGTCCCTAAAACCTGGAGGGGGACAAAACAGCATGCATTTAAGTCCAAAGTTTCAGTAAAATCCCTTCTTCACACAGTATTGAAGATCATTACATTAACGTTTGAGTTAAGACAGAATAGATGCTATTATGACTCAGTAGTAATCATTCCTGTGAATAGCTTTTGCAAATCCCACTCTGTCATTCCCACGGTCAAAAATGCAGTAAAATGCAGACATGAAGACATCTCCTAAAATCCAGAGCGGGCCGGTGCGAGTGGGGATGTCAAGAGACTGAAAGCCGCTCATGCAGAAGGTTTGGTCATCAATAGACTCCTGGAAGGGAAAGCATGTGTCCTTGCATCAGCCTGCTCCAGGCCAGCTCAGGAAGCAAGGAATAGGGAGCAGGGAGGCTGCAGATACACACCTTGAGGATGTACTGCTTTGCTGTCAGCTTGTACTCGTGGTGTCCGATCGTGAAGCTTATGTGAGGCAGGCTTGACAATCTTCTGCAGTCTACAAGAAACTGTATGCAATGCACTGATTGAGATGGGATCAGTTTGTCTTTGTTTAAGTATTGCCCTTTGAATTCAAGACTTTTGTAGCAGATAATGGTGAATTTACTACAGAGAAATAGCATTAGGCTGACATAGCCCAACACTGCCCTCCGGCTTTCCAGTTCCTGTACTTGGTCAAACCAGCCCAGCAGCCCAGACCCCTGCACCAAAGCCCCTAGGGACCTAGGGCTGATGAAAATCCTTGTAAATGCCAAAGGGAAGGAGGTGAAGGGGAACTCTGATGTCCTCCCTGTATAACTCAGAAAGAAAACTGAGTGTGTGATCCCCCCAGCAAGTCTACACTAGCAAGGTCTGCTGAGCAAAAGTCCACCAACACTCTGGCTGGACTGTTGGGAGGGAGCTGCCTCCAGCCACACAGGAAGCACCCTATGGCTGCAGCTCACCACACGTCCTCCCATAACACCACCACTTTAGGGAAAAATAAGCTAGTGAGGAATACAGCACTTTATACTTTGACTTAGAGTGGGATTTAAAGAGCAGAAGGGCTAAATTCTGGCATGGTCATTAATTTCCATAAATAATGCATTCACTTACAGTAACACAGAAGATAATTTCCTGGCCTTTCTAGTTATTTCATGAATAACTGGTGTGTTAAATGGTCCTGCAGAATGCTCCAAGTCTCAGAGGGATCTTTGCTATAAACTAGTGTTTAAAGTCATTGCTTTAGAGGCTTTCTAGAAGGAAGAATCTTCTTTTTGCTGTTTTTCAATCTGCTTTATGAAACCATAACACTAAATCTTGTTACACTTACCAGGTGTCATACCATTAAAACAAAATAAACCATGGGATACAGAGGACAAGGGTAGAAAATGCCAGTATAATGGTTTGCAGGATACAAAAAGCAAGACGTAATTCTTTTACAAGCTAGTAGATCCAGAAAAAATTAATCTTTCCTGGAAAGAAATGAAAGTTCTCATAAAATCACTGATGGATACACTCACTTTTACTGAGATAAATTTGAGCCAATTTACTCTACCTGTCTGTGATTGTTAAAAGACCAGTCATAGAAAGTCTTATTTTCAGGACACGTTTTTGCAGAATCTGAGATGCCAGCTGAGGGTTCTTGTGTCAGCACTGGAGTATATAAACTTATACTGCAATGACCTGTTCCTTGTTTATACTATGCTAGTATAAGCACATTGGAAATACATATTTTATCTATATTCATTGGCGTGTACCAATATAAAAACAACTTGCTATCAAAGCATACTCTTCGGCATGTGTCTGAAAGTTTGAACAAAATCAGAATTAAAGGTTTAATTGAGAAAGAATCATGAGCTTCAGGAATCACACATATGTCACTGGAGTCCTCCTATTACCAAGTGAGGTGGATTAAGAGTCCACTTTGCTCTTTGCCCAGTGCACTGGGCAACTGTAATACTCTTAATTTTCTTCCAAGAGCATTTTTGAGTGAGGTTAAAGACAAATGCAAAGTTAACAGCACCTGTGTGTGGCAGCTTTACTTGGGGCACTGGAGCTGTGACAACGTGCTAGCGATCTGTGGGAGTCAGCCAAGGGCCAGCAATAAGGCACAGGAGAAGTAAGCTGCTCTTTCCCTGGAGGCAGGGACAGGAAGGAATGGTGGGGAGCATCAGCAGAAGGGATGCAGGAGAGAGCAGCAGGCAAAGAGGAAAACAGCAAGAGGTAAGAGGAATAAGGTTCAGGAGAAAGAATAAGAGACAGCAAGTCTTGTCCTGCACCCTGTGACTCATCTGCCAGGAGCCACTGTTGTGAATGACACTGATGTGCATCCCTCCCAGGAGCCCTGCATGGCACCACCTGCTCCGTGGCAGGCTGACAATGAGAGGTCCTGTCAGTGAAGCCATTGTTGAGCTGTCATTAAAATACCATTCCCTTTCCAATCGATGCTGACGTGGCTGGCCATCAGCACCAACCCCCTCCTGGCTTGGGAGAGCCAACAGCTATAACTGGAGACATTGAAAATCCTCTGATCTTCCAAAAGAAAATTATCTCTCATGAAGAGTACAGATCGATTCCTCAAGCAAATGTACTCCCTATTTCCTTACACACCAGTTCTGAGTATGGGAGAAGAGGTGACTGTTTGGGAGGAGGCCTGGGGCAGCAAGGCAGATAGATCAAAAACAGATTGGTTCTGAGTTCAGTGCTGTTCTGGAAACAAGGCTTTTGCTGAGACCTTTCTAACTAATTATTTTGGTTATTTTCTCAGCCTATAAGCTCTTTGCACCAAATATCAGTTTCCCTTCCCGTCTGGTTGGTTTCTGTCCATACAGGTTTTACCTCTCCAGTATCTGATGGACTTGCCCCAATATACTCCTGTAATCGCCTGATCTGTGAAGAGGGTCCGGTGATAAGAGAAGTGCCTGAGTCAACGATGGCCTCGCAGCCATGGGAGCAAAATGCCACCCGGCCCTGGATCTTTATACTGCAAGTGAAAAACAAAGCATCTTTAAGCAAATGGCACATGCACTGTGACTGAAACATCATATTATTGTTAGCTAAAGTACCAGAGTACAAGACTGAAGTTACTCCAAGGTAACAAGTGACAGGACAAGAGGAAATGGCCTCAAGTTGCACCAAGGTAGGTTTAGATTGGATATTAGGAAAAACTTCTTCACAGAAAGGGTTGTAAAGCATTGGAACAGGCTGCTCAGGGAAGTGGTAGAGTCACCATCCCTGAAAGTGTTCAAAAGACGTGTGGATATGGCACTTGAGGACACGGTTTAGGGTTGCACATGGTGGTGGTGCTAGGTTGGCTGTTGAACTCGATCATCTTTGAGGTCTTTTACAACCTTAATGATTAAAACTAGCTGCCAAGCTTTGCTAAAGACAAAAATGTCTGTGGATCCACTTTTCTCTCTTGGGACTCCTAATTGCTAATCATTTGCTGCGTGCTGATGAATTTGTCCTCACCCACAGCTATGTGTTCTCATCAATTTAGGCAGCATGCTAGAGGAAGAACAAAGGAACACTTTGATCAGAGTTAGCAGGAAAGGTGAGAGCAGGACCCAGAGCAGGATGGTGGGTGCCTTAACTTCTTAACAGTTAAAATATATTAACATATTCTCCCAGAAACCAGCTTCCCATGTCACAGCAGATTTAGAGAGCTAACAAACCCCAATCTCATCCTAGTGTACCCCCTCTCTGAGAGGCACAAGGGTAAACCACTGCAGCTGAGTCCTCTGTATCTGCATCACTAGGTGTTTCTGTCTCTGCAGGTTTTACCTGGGAGGCAGATATCACCAGGCTTTTCATACATACATACTTACATACAGACAGACAGACAGACATATATACATACTTGTTCACATGTATTTGCCAGTAGCTTTTCTCGGTGACTGGGACCCAGTGGATTGAACCTTTGTAGAGAGAATGGTCTATCCCCCCCAGAATCAACTCACCACCATTCTCAGTGTCATCTCCTCTGAAAGCAGAAGACAAGGTAACACAGACATGGGAGTGTGACAGCATGGATGAGATTACACTTAAAATGCAAAAGACAAATCACATCCCTTTATAAATTCAGATATGGATGGCTGAAAGGGATTATTTCTAAATTATCACTACATGTGTCCCAAACAACATCTGAGAAGACTTACTGTAGGCTGCCAAGGTAGGCGTCAGGAGCAGGTTGAGACAGTTGCTACTCTCACCTCAGAATAAACACTAGAGAAATGAGTGGAGGGAACAACAGAGTAGGGAACAACATTTTTCTGGAATGTGGCTACTTGGGTGTAGGACAGCATTTCTGTTCATCTCCATGAGCCAGAAGGAAACCTCTGGCAACAGACGTGGTGAGTCTGAGTTGGGAGCTTTTCTTTTCTTTATGACCAGCTCAACAAGAATAAATCTCCATCCAAAAAGGCACAGTCTACCCCATAACACTTTTTCTTTTTATTCTATATTTTTCAGTGTCAAATTGGAAAACAAACAAACAAACAAACAAACAAAATTGGAAAATATTTCAATTGGGAAAAAAACCAAAAAAACCAAAAAGAACCAAAAAAATGGGGGAAATTACCTTCTAGAGTTGAAGCTTTATACAGAGGTACGGTTGTTTCTATCAACAATTAAAATAAATTTACTTTTTTTTTGGCTATACCATTTTAAAGACTCACCTTTTCAGATAGAAAGAGAAGACTGGCTCCTCTACCAAGCGCTGGTTCATGATGCTGTCAAACACAGGCAGAGCATTGCCCACTGCTAAGGAGGGGTAGCCTAAGCCCAGCACGCCATCAAAGTGGGCAAGGACAAAAGTTGTTCCTGGCTCAAACACTGACTCGCCAAAGTCCTGTCCCTTGATGGAGATGTTACTTATCTGTTTGGTTAAAAATAAAATAAATAAATAAATAAAAATATATGAAACCTTTGAAAGTAATAACACCATCAATCACAAGAAATTAGCCACATTTCAGATCTATGTCAATGGATTCATTCAGTTTATAAAACCTGGATATCCTTGTGTGACTTGCATCAATAAAACAGGTGCCCATTTGACAGGTAGGCTGCACCAATTCTTTAAATGCCTTACTTGTGAGGCTCCTTGTTCATAAACCCAGAACAGACAAAGACCCAAGAAGACAAGCAGAAATGAAAATAAAATCTTTGGGATTTGTCTCGGTGGCCCAAAGCTGGAGCAGCACCCACACCTCTCAGTACGTGGCTAGGTGGGACCTCACCCTGCCCTTGCCTAAACCAGGCAAGGTTTTCCAGGGCAAGGCCAGTATCTGAACTGTCCAAAAACAGTTGACCTGAAGGCTGACACCCATTTCAGGTGGATGCTCACCTGCAGCGTGTCTTTGCCAGCAATGCCCAGAAGCTGTCCCGAGCCGTACTGCAAGGAGAAGGCTTCCCCTCCGTGCTCGTATGAATCCGACTTGAAGGACTTAAATTTCTGGTGCACCCCTACACAAAACAAATTACATCTTTGCACTGAGGGGAGGTCCCAGCAATGCACCTGCTCCCCAGTGCAGAACCAGATGGGAGTTTTGCTTCTCTTATGAGAAAAGTGTGTATAGAAATACTGCAGGCACCTCAGTTCCCCTTCAGGGCGCACCAGTTTTTCTGTACCTGAGAGGTTATTTTTCATTTTAAAGACAAATTAAAACAAAAATAGGCATTTCCAGCAATTCTGGCAGCTCTCCCAGGTCTATTTTAATGCCTTTTACATCAGGCACCTTGTGGTCTGGAAGGACAGCTGGCAGCTGCAGCCGGCACCTGTCCTGGCTGCAGGATGACATGAGGGGCAGAGGCAGAGGAGAAAACCGGGAAGAGGAGAGCAGCCCTAATCGATGCTCCAAATCCTTCCCTTCCAAATCCCTGCTGCAGGCGAGCTCCTTGGGAAAGGAGTAGTGGTCAAAGTATCCAAGACATGAGGAGCATAAGGGAGAATAATGTTCCTTACTGCACGCCTCGCTGATGCAATAAGCGGAAGGGACCCAAAAGTTGGAGGAGCCGGTGTCAAACACGACGGTGAACCTCTGTGGGGGCGTGCCGACATTCACCACTCCGTAGTACTGCGCCTGGGGGAGGAACAGCCCCGTCAGCTCCCAGCTGCCTCCACTGAGCTATTCCTGGGGAAGAAGCATACTTGGGAGCATCACACAATGCTTTCTCAGGGGGGTCTGTGCAATTTCATTTAAATGCAAATGCACACCACAGGGAAGTGTGTCTGGTTCCACGAGTTGCTTCAGGCGGCAGATTTCACTCCAGCTGAATGCACAACAGTGAGGCATTTTTAAAGCCTTTTAAGCAAATATTCAGTTGGGTTCCCTGTGGAGTCAACAAATCCTCTTGCACCGGTTTCAGAGGTGGCAAGGTCACCCTCAAGACGAAGCTCTCACACGACCATACGGTCTTTCAGGTTTTTCCTCACTGATGTCAGTAAGAAATCAGTGTTGCGCTGTCAGCACAACCTGCCTCTGCTGGCTTCAGAGGGTTCCGACCCGGTGGCACAAACACTGTCATATGTGGCTAGTTTTTTTCCCTTTTAATTAGCAGCCATTAGCAAGTCAAAAAAGTATTGTGTTGCACAAACTGTTCCTAATGTACTGAACAAAGTTCATCCAGCAGATGAAGAAACCACTGCACATCCCCGGATACCAATCGAGGCTGAGATAATCTGTGAACACGTGAATGCTGGAGTGCAGTGCTTATCCACATCCCGTATACAAGTGTTTAAGTGCTCCTATCTGGCCCTGCAAGACCACTTCAGCATTAAGAGACCTATTTTTAGGAAGAGGCATTTCTGGAATTCAACCACAGATAGGAAAGCAATAGCTATTGCCAAGCTTTGTGCAGCAATACAAATATCTGAATATGTACCTTTAAGTGCATACTTCTTAATTAATACACTGAAGTTTCTGACCCCACAGTTTATGACCTGAATGAGATACTCTTGAAAAGGCAAGCAAGCATGCCATTTAAGAGAATATCCAGTTAAAGAGCAGAATTTTATTCCCTCTTGTATTAAACAGACCTTTATCAATGAATTTGTAAATTGAGGCAACTCTAAGGGATGTTCATTAAACCCAAACAACAACAAACAAACAAACAAATAAACAAAAAACCAACCAGAAAACCCACAAACACACTGCAATAAAAGCTACACAAAACTGTTCCTGTTGCTACATGGAGATGCTAGGGAAGGCGGTTTTGCTTCATCATTTTGAGATTTATCCCCCTTTGAAATAAGCTTTGAAGCAGACTGAAATGTTTGTTCTTCACATGGGTATTTCTTTATGGCCCTTAAGTGTCAGAAGTTCTTGCTGAATGAATTTGGTCTTCCCTTCCATTCTGTTTCCTATTCAGATGCAGCCTTAGTTTTCCTTTAGATAAGCACAACATAAGAACCAAGTAAAACAGGAAACAGAGACTACTCAAATGGACAAAATCCTAAACCCAGGAAAGACATCTTACAAAATGGTTGACCTGCTTACTCGCCTGTCTGAGATCCAATGAACCTCATATATTTTCTTTTTAAGTTTAGATGGTAAATTCAGCCAGGTTAGTATGAGGCCCAGGTCAGTCTCCAGTATTTAATACACACTAAACTCCAGAGATAAAAGCAGAAAAATAAAAAAACTCTACTTTAGGTCTGTTATCACTGGCTTCATATGATCAAATAAATGAGATTTGGGGGGTATTTTTTTTATAACACACAAACATCCTAGTTTCTGATAAATAGAATACCACTAAATGAAGGAGTCAGATTCTGCTACCAAGAACCTAGTAGTTTACCAAGACTGATACAGGCAAACTCATTGTTTCTTTGGGGACCCAACCAAGCTGAACACAGATCTATACAAAAATAAAACTTATCACAGGACTATCACTGCTAGACTATATCAGCTGTCTACCCAGGTCCCAAGCTAACCTAGATCTAGATGTGCTTTATTTTGCAGACTGGCAAACTGATTTTTTATGATCTGATTTATAGCGCAGAGCAACGAGACACCTCAAGCCCTATAATTTCATTGAGAGACTAGATTTGAAATGTGCTGGGAAAAAAAATCTGCCTTCAATAGAACAATGAGGTCTAATGGTTGCATTACCAAAACTGTACTTACATTCATGTAATCATACAGCCTTTCTGAAGCAGTTCCTACCGATAAAGCAATATCTGCAGGGAAGCAATGCAGATATCTCCGGGCAAAGACATCAGGGTGGTGATTCCTCCAAAAGTCCTCTAATTCTCCCTTTTCTTTCAGCTGTTTCTTGATAGATTTGAATCGAATCAGGGGGACTCTATGCAAATAAAACAAGCACACAAAAAATAACTGGTTCTTCCTTCTACAACTCCCATATACTCTTTTTTTAAAAAAATGTTTCTTTTTTGAGACCTCAAGTAGCAACAAGCACAGGTCACCCCAGGAAGCCAGCTGAGACATGACGCCAGATGTGTTTTCTTACCGTTCCATGGCCAGGACGAGTGGGATGTAAACCACAGCCAACAGTGTCACTCTCATGGTTCCAAGTGGCTCAGAGTCTAATGACATTCTTTTGCTCAGAAGTCCCTTTTTTATGGCGCGTTGTCAGCAGAGGGCCATTCGCCAGGTCAATCGATCACAGGAGGTCAGTGCTTTGGCAGAAAACCGATTAATTTACCCTCAGACTAACTGCTGGATTGTGCAAATAGTGATGTCCAGTGGAACCACTCAGGCACAGATAACCAGGGCACAGTCTAGATCAAACAGACATTTTCATAACAATCCTTAATGTCTTTTACATGAATATGACACATGGGATGAGCTTGGCTCCTGTTAGCATGGGAAAGAGGAGTTGGTCCAAGGACTGCACGCTTTTCAAGCCTGCTTTAGTGAGAAATCCCTCAGAAGTGTTCAACAGGGAGAAAGAGGACTCAGCATATAACCATTTCTCTTTTGCACAGAGACATTTCAGCAGGGCTGAGCAGACAGACATTTGATGGATTTGTGACAAGTCACTGCCTAACAGCTGATGTTTAATTCCCTATTTTTGGGAGAACTCCAGTCTAAACATAAATGTGACCACAGAAAATGAGTCTTCAAAGTAAAAAACATGACAACCTGAAACATATAGTAACAAACAGCTAGAAGTTTTGCACACCTTTCAGCAAGACATTTGGAAGGGCTCACTTGGATTTATTTTCCTGAGTGTTTCTTGAGGTTAGTGGCTCCCATCCCTGCCTGAGACTTGGGTTCAAGTCAAGCCTTCAAAAAAATAATGGTGTCAGAAAGAGACTCTGATCTGCCAGAGTACAGCCCCAAACCTATTAGCTGCCTGGGAGGAAGCTCAGTGCTGAGTCTGCAATTTACTTTTGAGACTTTTTGAATCTTTCCTCTGCACAAGAAAGTGCAATAAGCAACAGCATATTGCAGCCTAGTATATGTTAAAGTCAAATTTGGATAATCAACCATTTTTGTTCAAAGTATAAGGTATGGTAGAAGGCTGGGAGAAGACCAACAACATTCTTTCCCCTGCAATACAACATTTATTTAAAATAAACTGCTCACCATGTGAAGGTGAAGTGGGATTAGGTAATCCTCCCAAAAGAGAGCAGATGTGCCACAGCACAGAGCAAAGAGGGATCATCAAGGATATGCAGGAGGGAGGAGTCATCATCTGCTCTAGCAACAATGTTCCAGTCAAGAAAAAACAGCAGAAAAACCTGAACACATGGTGTTTGTGAGAAAAGACAGGGTCTAAATGCCTGTCACAGACTTTAAAGAAATGCAAAGCAAACCATTATAAGACTATACTAAAGAAATTATTAAAAATTGTTCCTTTTAATCTCTTCCCTTGTTATGTCAGACTGATTGAAAACAGGCATAAGAACCCTAAAATCAGTAAGTTTAGAGCTGTATTCATTACTGCCCTGGATTTTGAAATACATGGTTTGCTTTTTCTAATGTGCCTCCAAAATTGCAAGGGCTAAACAAAGTCAGCAAAGGTGTCATCACACAGCTGTGTGCAGAACTTCGGATCTGAAAAAGCACCAGCACCTCTATTATCATATTTTGTTTCAAAAAATAATAGAATCTCAAAAATGCATATTGATTTCTATTTTATTGTGACTTTTTGTTCAATTATCTAGCGCTGAGTAATGTTCCCCATTTCTTCTGGACTCAGGGGTTTTACACAAGTTATCAGTGAACAATCACTGTCCCACAGTCATCCCAGCCACTGAGCTGCAGGAGCTGGGTGCTGGAAATGAGACTGCTGAGCAAAGATGTAGCCATTTGTCAACTTCCTGAAACCACAGGCACTTTCCAAGGAGCCTCCACTGCCACTCGATGCACAGCAAGCCCCAGGGTAGGGCAATGCCACTTTGACAAGAGTATGACAATGTCTGTGCTGAATGCCTTTATCACTGGAATTTTTCCTCAAATGCCAGAAATGCTTCTGGGAAGTCATTAATGTTCATCTTGGAGGGTATCATGATAACTTTGAAGACATGAAATGGCTTTCAAAACACCACCTGGGTCTACTGAGGGGACTGCCTTTGCCTTGGAGCCTCCACTGAGTCCTTGATTCTCAGAAAGAACATGATTGTTCAGTTTACTGCAAATGTAGCCCTTTATTAATGCACACACGAAGGTTATTCTTTCCCAAATTCTCTGATTTCACAGTATGTTCCAAGCAGACATTCATTTAGCTAACAGAGGTACAAAATACAGCAACAAAAGGTCATCATGACTTTTTTTTTTGATAAGCTGGAATAATGATTAAACTACAATCCAGAGGATCCCTAAGAAACAGTTATCTGCAAATGAAAAGTTCCATTAAGCAGAAATAACTCAACTAGAAAAAGTATATCCCCATCTCTGTCTATAAAGTACATTGTGAATTTATTTGTCTACATATGGATTATTGAGAAAAATATGCCTACACCATAGTATTAATATATTCATACCTACACTTTCATGTTGCTCTGATTAGCAGGTTATCTGAAAAGATTTGTCTAAGGGACATGTCCTCATCGTGGATATAAATTCATTATTATTTCTGCCAACTGCATTTGGTTTTCCACAGCTGTAGACTACAGTGCCTTAGGAGGAGAGACACTTGCCTTTAGAAGGTGCCACACATGTTTATAAATGAAAACAAATACAACAACGCACTGAATGAGAATATTTTCTTAAATGTCAGGTCGCATTCCAGTGTAACTGCTTGGAAAAGGATGCCCTGCAAAATCCAGAAATGACACATTTCCCACAGTGGTCCTCTGACAGGGCACGTGATGTTAAATGAGTAAAGAAGTGGCTGGTTGGAGATGTTTGTTCAGTGTGAACTGGCCTGTTGCTGCTGGGATGCCATGCACAGCATGTCCTGCCTTCTGTCACCAGAGAGGGAATTTTCAGCACCTCTCTTCCACAGCACCACCAGAGATGAATGTGACATTATCTTTGTTCTCCAGGCTTGATACTCTGCCCAGCTTTTCCATCCATGCCTATTTTATGGCACTCAGGTCTCAGCACTCATTTTTCTCCGTCCTTCTGCAATAGTGGTTCCCAGATGCTCTCCCTCTTGTTCTCCTCGCGGAGGGAAGCCCTCCATACATTTCATAGCATCACTGCTGCATGGCACAGCCACTCATCTTGCAGGGAAAAGGCTAGTAAACATCCTACAGCCTATATCCAATTGATAGCCAAGACTGAATTTACATTTGAAAACAAGTGATAGTAGATAGATTTGACCACAGGCCACCTTAACTGTTTGATATTGCTTTTTTCTCAATCTTCTGTTTGCTCTGCCTTTTGTTTTTCCAAGAGTGCATGGCTTTCAGCAGTCACAGATTTTGGCAGTGTAGCACTAATGCCCAGAAAACAACTGCAGACTGAAGAAAATTTTCTCCCATGCAAAGTTCATGGTACAGCCACGGCCAACAGACAGGTAGGACGATCATAGAATGGTTTGGGTTGGAAGGAATCTTAGAGATCATGTAGTTCCAACCCCCCCTGCCTTGGGCAGGGACACACATGAATCCCCAAGAAAGCCTAAAAGAGCAGCAGCTCAAGAAGTCAAACCATGTAGAGGTTCCTACACATAGGAATGCTCCTCCTAGAAATCAGAGGTACTCCTGATCTGAACAGCAAAATGGGTCTTGATGAGAGAAGGAGAAGAGTTTACAGTGTCACATAACTTTTTAACATCAGATTTATCTTGCTCATAGTAAGTGAGAATCTTGATGGAATTGAACCCATGAGAGTTTCTTGACAGGTTTAGGTACAGACATGGGAACTGCAGCAGCACAGTTGGAAGGTGAATGGAGAACAGCCTTGGCAGTTTGTGATAGCACATTAAATGGGGATTGAGACAAGAAGTAAAACACAATGTAATGAGAAAGGCCCTACACAGTCAGGAGTGCCAGAGCCTATAGTAAATACCATTAAATTAGGAACATAAATAGAACAGTTCAAGATAGCAGTTTGCCAAGTATCTGTGTTAAAGCTTTAAGATAACTACTGGGTGGCAAGTTACACTCTGAAATTATGTGTTTGGCACCTTGCTAAATCCGTCCCTAAAAGTGCCACTTGTCTGGAAAGTCAGTCAGATATTGACTGGTATTTTAAACAATTTGATTATGTCTGACATTTCTGCTGAAAGTTTCATAAAAGTTAAACATTCGAGTTTAAAAATTTGGCCTTCTGTGGAATTTACTTTGCCAAGCCAAACCCCACTGCCCTTACTGGTCACACAGCGAGAGCAAGAGGAAGGAGCCGGGGCATCGGGGTGACTGTTTGGGGCAAAACCAGAGAATATTCACAGTGTGCAAGAAGAGGCAAGAAGGAATGTTTTTGGGGGCAGTGAGTGGGAGTGTGGGTAAGAGAGGGAGACCTGTGCTTTAAGTCGCCCTGTCAATATCCCCCGTCACCAAACACTCATTCGGTTATCAGAAACATTTCAGAGCTCTTGAGATTAACGGCTGGTGCCCTGTAAACAGAGCCTTATATTGGGAAGACAGAGTTACCGGCAGGCCAGTGCACAGCAGGAGAAGATCAAGGTGGGCACCTGTCCCTTGCAGTCCCGGCCATCCCAAAATAAAATCCCGGGATGGGCAACAGTCTGAAAGCCATAGTTGCTTTTGTACCCTCCAACAAGTGCCAGAAGTATCTCCTAGAAGACCTAGAAGAGATGCCAGTGGATAAAATGGTGGATCTGAGTGGCAGACAGCTGAGGCGGCTGCCTCTGCACATTTGCTCTTTTCGGGAACTGGTTAAGCTGTACCTGAGCGATAACAACCTGAACCATCTGCCCCCCGAGCTGGAGCAGCTGCAAAACCTGCAGATCTTGGCACTGGACTTCAACAACTTCAAAGCGCTGCCCCTCGTCGTGTGCACACTGAAGCAGCTGTGCATTCTCTACCTGGGCAACAACAAGCTCTGCAGCCTGCCCCTCGAGCTCCGGTTCCTGCAGAACCTCAAGACCCTCTGGATTGAGTCCAACTGCCTGCAGTACCTGCCCGAGGTGGTGTGTGAGCTCAGCCTGCTGAAGACCCTGCACGCCGGCTCCAACGCGCTGCGCACACTCCCTCC